CAATTTTTAAAATCTAATTTACCTGTAGACAGCTTTTAAGTCTTAGTTGAATAGTGATTTCCTCAGGAATTTATTGTGGATGTCCCCACAGGCTCATTTCATTGTCCCTGCTAGATGCTCCCATAGTACCTTTAATTTCCTCTTGTGAGATGAATTTTCTGATGGATTATATCAATTTATGAATACATATCTGTGTGCATGCTATTTCCACTGCCTAGAATATCCTCCTATACCTCAGTTTGCTCTTCATCTCTTTGATAATTAACTACATTCCCTTCAGTAATAAAGAGATAAGATATGGATTGCCTCTTTTGCAGTTTTCTTTGATGCTCCCATGTAAATGTCTTTCTTTCTGATCCTGTAACTATCACATTTTGGACTTCCCTATATTAAGTGTTGTTTTTTTTTATTATAGTACTACTAAATGTGCACTTGTCTCTTTAACTACTGGAGTATAAGGTCATTAAGAGTATGACCTGTGTCTTATTTGTCTTTGTAGCTATACACATATCCCAGAGCATTAAACATGATAAGTACTTATAAATGTATCAAATAAATGATTCAAGTCAGTCCATTTTTTTATCTATTAGCTATTCAGATAGCTAGTGGGACTTTTTATATTCTACTATGTATTGTGCAGAATTTATATGTAATATGTATAAAGAATCATATTATTAACATGTTCATCCATATACTTATCACTAAATATGATGTCATTAATAAGGTTCCATATATGTCCACACTTGAGTAATAGAAATTAGAAATTTGTGTATGGATCTTGGATTGGGTTCTGTTAATCATTTTATTATGTGTGATGATGAAGTTAGCAGCAAGTAATGAGCTTTGGCCTGCATTTTTATAGTTGTCCTGAGGTCCAAAGATGAGACAAGGCAAAGCTTCTTTCTCAACTGTCCTAGTTACATATCCATGTAACACTTCACTAGATTTTTCTAGGTACTTGTCCTTCTGTAGCTTTCCCATAAAAATCCAGATAAGAATTCTGAGGACCAAAATAATATGGATGCTGCAGAATAATACTTTCCAAAAAATTCTAAGCATCCTGCAGACCTTTTCCAATTTGTGCTTGTCATGTGCATTTAAGAAGGCAGCTACAAACATCAGAATGAAGGACTGGAGAAATAAGACCAAGAGTTGCTAAAGGTCATTAGATGGATCAATTGTAGGGCCATAAAAAGAGCCAAGCTTTTATCTTGCAGTTTTGAGCCTAGATTGCCCTCCAGAGTCACCTTCCTAGATCCATGGTGAACTCTCTACTGTGTAGGACAAACAACGGTTTTGCCTTGCTTCTGTACTTCTGTACATCCTCTATTCTGTATTTCAAAATAAGTACAAAGACATTCCATAACGGTTCTCGGATCATGTAATCTCAGTTTCTTGTCCAATTCAGACTAAAATGGAGGGCTCAGTGATTATCATCTTGATATTCATTCAACTCTATTTTCAGGTGACTAATCAATTTCTCTGCTTCATTCATCATCTGCCCTCCTTGATCTAAATATTCATCTTTTTTTCTTCAAAGTTCAATATTCTAGGGGCTGGGGCTCAGTGGTAGCACACTTGCCTGATGTGTATGAGACACTGGGTTGGATTCTCAACACTGCATACGAAGGTCTATCAACAACTAAAAAATATTTTTTAAAAATTTTTAAAAATTTCAATATTCTAATGCTCTCCTCACTTTTTGGAAACTCCAGAACTGAAATGTATCTTCTATCTTCTCTTTCATTATTCAGTTTTGCCTCTATCCTGTTTTCTTTATTCATTCACTATTCTTCCTCCTCTAGTATTCTCCATCTCTAATGTGTTCAGTTTCTTTATTGCCCATTGCTATCTTCTCTATGTTCTCTTCCATTTGCTTTCTCTTGATTTATCCATCCACATGTCTTCCTCATCGTTTCAACCCTCCATCCACCTCCTTCCATGATCTCTCTTCTGTTTACAACTACTCTGTTCTATTCTTTCCACAATTGTGTGAACTCCTAGGTCCTCTTCAATCTGTTCCCCTTTGCTCATTTAGTATAAGAATGTCTCTCTTCCATCTATTCTCTACCATTGCTCTATTCTCTCCAAATTCTTCTTCATACATTATATCCATTCATATCTCTCTACTGCCTATCTTTCCCACCTTCTTTTCAACATTTATGTCCTTTCATACAGTGTGATCATTCTCACCTTTTTGAAACTCTTTGAACCTTTGATATATCAGCCAAGATGTGTTAGATGAGTATGCAATAAGAAGCATTTCTAAAACCTCAGAGCCTTAAAGCAACAAAAGTTCATTTCTAATTCACATTGTTTATCTGTGGTTTGGGAAGAAACTTGCTTCTATGTCAACCTCAATTAGGAACAGGAACATAGAATGATGGATCCAAAACCATCTGGAATAATGTGTATCACTATGATGAGGAAAGGCAACATGGCATATCATGCACTGGTTCTGAAAGGCTTCCTCTGTCCCTTAGAATTAACATGTGCCATTTATTTACACTTGTATTAGATTAACCCAAATGAGTCATTTGTTTCTGCCCAACTTTAAGGTACAAGGGGAATATAATACTACCATGTATCCAGAAGGAGGAGAATAGGGACAATTTGCCAAGTGGCAGTACTGACCACCATGCTTACCTTTCAAGATAGAGCACACTATTGATTCTATTAACATTTCCCTCACTGTCCTTCTGGATCTCCTTTATAGGTCCCTCTTTTTCCTCCTCTGCCTTAATGATAGTAGTGTTTTATGATTGGATCCTTGATCTGTATTTACTGCCTATTTCCCTAATTTATCATCCCTTCTGCATTCCAATCTATTTATCTGAAATAGAAATTCAAAGCTTCTTATCCAGATGATTTTGGCCATTTCCTAACTATTTTCCCTAATTTTCATGTTCACATACATTTTTTACACAGTAACTACATTGTCATATATTAAATTTAAAAAATCACCACCTCATTCTCTTATCTAAAATGTCTTCCATTCACTGCAATTGTACACTTGGCTTTCTGTCTAGAATACCCATCCTCTCTGCCCTCTGCTCCTACCTATATTTGATTATATTCCACATATGTAATAATATAAAAATTAATACCAATAACCCGGAACCTAGGAGCTGCCTAACCAAAAGACTCTTTTCTCAACCTGTCTCAGGAGAATAAATTAGACAACTCTCCTCTCTCTTCCAATAATTGTGTGTGTATATATATATATATATATATACACATATATATATATCTTTAGCATTTTAGTTAATATTATTTGTGATTATCTAATTAATGTTTCACCCTTATTATATTGTGATGGTCAAAAGGACAGAGACCATCTGTAATTAATGTTTGTATACCCATAACTTAGTCCAGGGCCATGTATGTATTAGAAAGTCAAACCTGTTTGGTAAATGAACAAATTGAATTAAGACTTGTCTTTCTTGCACCCATGATTTCCTTCCCTTTTGTTCATCTCCTTCAGTGTTTATTCCCCTACTCCTCTATGTCTTTTCTTCTTTTTTTCTCATATATTATATCCTCTTCATCAAGTTTTCCCATCCTTTTATGGCATCCTAATACTTAGTCTCTTTATTTTCCTCCATCTTCTCCATTATCTTCTCAGCTTTTCTACTCTTTTCTCTCCTTTCTCACATTCTCTCTTTCTCTATCTTCATCTCTCTCTTCCTTCTCTCTATATATGATATGTATGTTATATGTCATATATACTCACACACATACATATGTAATATGTATTCATAATATATATAAAATCTGGAGAAAATGTACATAATTAGTCTTCCCTTCCCCTCTCCTTCTCTATCCAATTCATATCCATTTTTCTTCTTTTCTCTAGAATTTCTCCTCTACCATATGTCCATTTTTCCTCTACTCTCTCATTTCTTCCTCTCTCCTTCAACTTTTAAGTATTCATCTTTTATCCTTTGTTCCTAAGCCATTTTCCTGTCTCCCAAATTCTTGTAGGAAAACATCAGTAAATAACAAATTGGAAGTAATGAGGGATATAATTCATATATTCACCAGCCATGCATTGAGTTTCATTGTGCAAAATAATAAATCCATAAATTTAAAATAGCCCTAGAAACTGCACTGAATGATTGCATTTATCTATTCAATAAAGGTTCACTCAGTTACACAAAATGAACACACATTAATGTGGGAGGAAGCTTCAAAGAGTGACAAATGACAGCATAAGAGCTATCAAAAGAATAAAAAGCACACACAAAAACCAAAAAAATTTTTTTAGTATTGGAGCAAAAAATCTTATTGTATTGCAAGTGCTCTCAAAGATATTCTTTTGACAGTGAAATTCAATATCTAGTAACTCTAAAGACAATAATGAGTCATGAAATACATAAAATTATGATGGCTCCTATGTATTGGGTGGTAAAAATGTATAAAACATATTTTATATTTTATGAAGATTTCACTAAGCTACAATCTGAAGTGTTTGGAAACTTCATTTATATAAAATTCCAGGTAATGTGACATAAAATAAGTATCGCAGTATTTTTTATTTGTATATATAAAACATGTTTCAGAAAATATCTATCATCTCATCTGAGTCTCACAAGTCTGTTTCATAAGGGTATTTTTCCCTAGTCAAACTCAGCATATTCTAATGATCAGTATGTTCACACCTATATATATATATTTGTAAGTTTATGAAATTTAGTGTCCTTAAATATGAATGTGCCTGTGTATTAGGTCACATGTGTCTTTGAGTATGCATACATTTATAAAATACACATATATCTCTGTCTCAGATTATTTATATGTGCAGCTACCTATTTATATGTGTATACAGAGTATGTATACATACAAGCAAATATGTTAAGAAGTGTGCATGTATATATACATATGTGTGTATTCATTTCTAATCTGTAAATTTGAAATAATTATGGATGCCCTAAAATGTGCTGCTTACAACCCCAATCCTATCCACAATATATTCTAGTTAGGAGCAATCATTCTCTCACCTCATTGTATAGAGAAGGGTTCCATTGTCTACCAGTCTGAGCAGCTTGTTCGGTGTGGTCATATTATGAGCCACTGATTTCTTGCCATTATGAAAGAAGGTGTCAGGAGTCCAGATCTTACTAGCCAGGAGATTGTTCAGTGGAAGGATCTTCATGGGTCCATCAAATTTCAGTCTTTCATCATGCCATGTCTGTCTAAAAAATACATCAATGGTGTACTCCTAGGGATAGAAAAGAGAGAAAATATTTTTTTTTCAGAAGAGTCTTGATGAGGACCAGCAGTGCCCTCAGCAAATATTAATTACATCTTCTGATGTAGAAGAACAGCAGTCTACTAACAGTGGTTATTGAATGGTTACTGATAAGTCAGGTAAATGATTATGGCTGAAAAATAATGCCATAGGGATTGTGAGTATAGTGATAATATATCTGATAAGGCTTTTATTAGAAATAGCAGTACTAATACTATTTTACACATCACACAAGCTGACTACAAGACTTTTCTTATGAAAATGCAAACACTTTCTTGTTTTAATAGAAGAAATTCCTAACTTTGTCTTTACTCTAGGAAGATAGCATATAAACATCTAAGGCCAATATAACAATAACCATAAAAACAAACTTTATACTTTAACACATATTTCATCAAAGCCTCAAAGTAACAATATGTCAGATGGGTTAAAACCTTATCTTCAATAGGCAATTAAATCTCATATATAAATAAAATTGAAATAAATGCACACATAGAAAAAAATGGGTAAGTGAACAGAAAATTAAATAAATGGATAAAAATTCTTATCAAAAATTAAAAATGTTCAAATTTCCTATTAATCAAAATATAAGTTAAAACAAGTATAAGTGTTCAAGGTTTTGGTAATAGTAGAAAAAATTGTTTGAGCACATCCTTCCATTGCTATCAATGATTAAATCTGAACAACAACTGTATATTACATGAAAGCAATGGGGAATGATTGAAAGCAGACAGACAAAAATGAGTATATACTTGGAAGATGGTAATAGCCATGGATTCAAATTGTAAATTAGTAATTTTTCTTTCCTGTAGGTAATACCCCAAGCCTAGCACTCCTCTGACATGTATGACAAATAGCCTTCCTAACTCAAGGTGGCAGGAAATCTGGAATATTAGGGATGAGAGTACTAGAAGCAAGAAAATCACTGAAATGATGGACATATAAATCTCAGTATATTCTCTGCTTCAAGTCCCAGCTGACCACCATACAACATACAAATAGAGGCAACTATGGGACCCAGAAAAATCAGGCACAAATAATTGAGTAGTAGTCCACTAAATAAAAGAACTGTATTGGATGTTGCTTGTGAGTTTGCTGCTTTTTAGGCTGAAGAAATTCCTCAATCCATCACTATTCACATGGCAGAAGTCTGAAAACTTATTATTTTTATGTATCAGAGGAAATGTTCAGGACTGAAGGATGTGCTAAAATGCTTAGAGAGTTTCTGTAAGCCAGAGAACCACTGAGAAGGAGAATCTCAAAATCTGAATGCAAATTTTGCCCAAATTCTTGATTAACCACAAAACACAGGGGATTACTGCAGGAGGTCAGTTTGAAAAAAAAAATCTACCAGAAATTTATTAAAATTCTTTAGTTTAAAACACCCTAATGACTTCTGATCATATCTTGATTATCTTCCCTGACATATACTGGCCCTTGTCTTCCTCTTTGAGATATCCTTCACTCCTTCTCCACAAATTAACCAATATGGCTTTTTATTCTTCCAGCATACCAAGTATATCCTTGCTTAAGAATCTAAAAAATCATATGATTTATTGTCTCAATAGGACTATTTTTGAGAGCAAGAGGAGATTTTATAAATAACCAGGGTAATGGGTGTAAACTAGGACTCTGCCAAATGAGAAACTGGAATTAGACTCCCACATAAAGCAAAGATCCTGAAAGGTTCCAACTTCAGCAAAAGGGTGAACTAGATAAAATTAATTAGACAAAACCAATCCACAACACAAACACTCAAAACAGAAGGTTGAGGAGAGAGGGGAAAGCCTTTTTTTAAAATCAAATTTAGCAACTTCCATCCTCATCTTTTGTGGTATATTTAAATGTACACTATCTGCTTGATCTGAGGTTTTCAAACTGAAAAATTAACATAAAAATTAGTTTCAGGCTGGAGATACTACAAGATTAACTTACAGAAGCAAACACAAAAACACTCTAGAGGGACATAACCACAAATAACTAAAAATAAATTCACAGCCCACAATAACAAAACACCAAAGAAAATGATCATGAGCAAGAGTCGGATGATACAACATATAACAAAATTAGACTCCCTCCAAGTACTTCATATAACATAATTATCAAATAGAGATTATGAAAAAAGTACAATTAAAATTATAAAGGTTATGGGGAAAGGTAAGAAAGAAAAATCTGATTTTAAAAGGTCTATTTGAAGCTGACCTTTTGTAAAAGAGAAATAGTCTTCAGAAATTAAAGCTTAATGAATGTGTCATATAAAGTAGATTAGATATTACTGAAGAGAGACTAATGAACTGGAAGATACATATGCGGAAAAATTGCTCAGTTTATATTTCAGACAGATAAATGAGAAAATATGAAAAGAGGAAAATCTCTTATTCTTTTATAGAGGACAAAAAGAAAAGGTTCAACATATGTCTATTAAGATTCTAAATGTGAAAGAATAGAGAAAATAGAAGAGGAATAATATTCAAAGAACTAATGGATGAGTTGTCTCATAATTGTTGAAATATATGGATCCTTAGCTTTGAAACCATAATGAGCTCAATAAATTAAAGCAGATCCAAGCAAGCATATAGCAGATTTAAGAATATTAAAGTGGTGAACTTCAAAACAAAATATAAATGACATGTAACCTACAATATAATATAATTTTGATTGATAGAAATTTTCTTAAAATGAATAATAGAGGGGCTCGGGTTGTAGCTCAGGGGAAGAGTGCTTGCCTAGCATGTGTGAGGCACTGGGTTAAATTCTCAGCATTACATATAAGTAAAAAAATAAAGGTCCCTCAACAACTAAAAAATATTTTTTAAAAAGCAATAATAGAAGTCAAAAGACATCAAAAATACATCTTGAAATGCTAAAAGAAAAATAATGGTTAACTCAGAATGCTATAGTCAGCTAGACTGTATTTTAAGAGCAAGATGAACAAGAAGCTAATTTTATTTTATTTTTTTAAAGAGAGAGAGAGAGAGAGAGAGAGAGAGAGAGAGAGAGAGAATTTTTTAATATTTATTTTTCAGTTTTTGGTGGACACAACATCTTTCTTTTATGTAAGGCTGAGGATCAAACCCAGCGCCCGGTGCATGCCAGGCTAGCACGTTACCGCCTGAGCCACATCCTCAGCCCAAAGCTAATTTTAGATAAATAAAACAATACAGAGAATTTACCACTAACTAGTCCTCATTCTTATCTCAGATTTTCTCATGGCTGGGTCAATTACTGCCTTCAGGTCTAATTCAAAAGTCACATCAGAAAGGCATTCCTTGACCATTCTATCATAAATAGTAATTTCTGTTCCCCTTATCATGTGCTACATTTCTTCTTCATAGCACTCATGAAATATATATTTATTATGTGTTTCATGCCAACAGCCTGGAAGTCCCATAAAAGTAGGGTCTTTTCTCTATTTGCTACTATACCCTCAGCACCTAGAACTCTGACTGCTATAAAGTAGATTCTCTATACACACTTTTTGAATAAGTAAATTGTGGAATGAAGCCTTATGAAAAGAGCTACTAAAAGAATTTCTGAATGTCTCAAAACAGAAGATTGAGAGGAGAAAGCCTTTTTATCCTTGAAAATCAAGCAAAAGGAATATGCCACAAGGAAAAGCAAGTATAAGTATTGATGATGTTTTGGGTAAACTAAACAAATACTGGCTATTTACAAATAGTAATAAAGGCTATTAAACTAAGGCAAAGCAAAACTAATTAAACCAAATGAAAGGATAGAGTAAGAATATGTAAGTTAATACATTATTGAATTTGAGAGAAGAGTGAAAATATTCAGTACCATTAGACTTTAGGTCACATATGCATGTTATTATATAAGATAATCACTCAAGAATATAATAAGTAGAATGTAAAACACAAAACAACAGAGGAAACAAAAGGAAATGTAGAAAATGCTTCAATCTTATAGAAGGCAAGATAAGAAAAATAAATAAATCATAGAAAAATTGGGAGGAATAATACACATAATCATATAATATAAATAAACTACTGTAAATAAAATTGAAATATTATAAACAATGTACTTACATACTCTGTACAAACAAGACATAAAATTGGACAGATTGAAATCATACATTGGTTAATCTTAATTAATTAAAATAAAGGTTGTAGAGCTGTAAAATAGAGGTAGAACAGACTGTAGGACAAACATTTTTGAGGGGATGAAATATAATGACATTAGCTGGAGTATTTCAAGTAGAAAATATAACAACTCTATCTTTGAATGCATTAATACCATGGAATCAAAATACATAAGACAAAACTTGAATTACATGGACAAATCAACAAACCATAGATTCTGAACAAGGGAAAGATAAATGAGATCGAAAATTGAATAAAATCAAGAACCTTAACTGACAAGCATGAGCCAAAGAACACACACAGACTTACTGATTAAATACCCAGTAAAACACATAAAATTTTTGCCAAAAAAGAAAAATGGCAATGTGCTAAGCCATAAAGCCAATCTCAATAAATATGTCATACCCTAGAGACTATTTTTATTAAATATGAGGCATGAAATTAGGAATTAATAACAAAATTTTTACAAGTTAAAATTGAAAGACATACTACAAAAATGTCAAGAAACAAGGAAGAGCAGGAACATCAAGTATTTTCTTCCTTTCTTTTTTTTTTTTTTTTTTTGGAGGGGGGTGCTGGGGATTGAACCAAGGGCCTTATGCATGCAAGGCAAGGACTCTACCAACTGAGCTATATCCCCAGCCCCTACCAAGTATTTTTAAGGACAGTAAAAAGGATGATCCAGATAAGAGCAAAAATTAGTGAACTAGAAAAAAAAGAAATAATACAGATGATGAAAAAAGGTAAAAACAAGATACTTTGAACACTAACAATACTTTAAAAAAAACTTCTGACAAATTTATCAAGAAAAACAGACAAGGGAGGAATAGTAATGGAAAGGGTGGTGATATATAATAGTAAAATTAGAAA